GAAAAAGTTACCTAAGTCTTCCAACGTTGCTTTTCATACAGAGCAGAAGATGGTCTCAGCAGAAACAGTTTAAGGCTGGTGGGCACTCCTAAGGAACAACCCTTGCATGCAAGCAACTCTATAGAAGCCAACTGGCAGCAAGTGCTTCACACCTTGCAAAATAGTTCCTATTCTGGAAAAAGTAATGGTTACATGAAGAAATTGTCTAGCATACCAAAAGGTGGTATTCAGCTCTGTTTGCAAAAACACTGAATGACATGTGCCCTACCTTGCATGTGGAGTTCTTCTGTGAGCTTGGTTTTGTAGTGCAAGTGTTTCATGTTGCAATTCTTTGACTCTGTAAGATGGAGTTGATAGAATTCTTACTCTGCAGTAACTGTAAGAAGAGACTTGTTCAACAAATTAACTATCTACCTTACAGAAGAGGTTCCAGAAGGCCAAACAGGAATAGTCAGAGAAATCTGAAAGGAGATCTGTGAGCTGTGTTAGAACTTGCTGTTCTCTTCCTACATCCCTCCTTTCCTCTTGCCTTTAGTAGTACTTCCAGCTCTACTGTCTTGTTTTGTTTTGCCTCGTGTTCCCAGGATAAAGCCTTTCACTTGAATGATCTATTATAGGTGAAGGGAAACAAGAAATAGCAAGTATCTGAGTGCAGTACATGCATATGTATGTGTATAGACCTTATGCAGGAGCAGTGGCCTTCTGGAATTGCACTGTAGCATTCCTTGTGTTGGATGAGTAAAAAGGATTCAGGATTCCTAATGAACAGCATCTCTAAACACTGGGTAACAGTAACCAGCATCTTCTGGCACTCATTGTGTACAGATGCTCCTCTGGGAGTGACTTTGTGTTTAGGGCAAATATTTATCTATGGAAACCACCCTTTCTCTCATCTGACCCATGTCCCTCTATATAGCCATTCACATCTCTAGAGAGTAAAAACAAGAGAAATCTTCTAGAGAAGGAAGTTGCTCTGTAACATTCTGGTGAAAAATTCTTTGGGGAGGTGTTATAATGAATGTGCCAGAAGAAGGTAACACTTCGTTTGCTTCCTCTCCAGTGAGTACTTGGAAGCACATCAGGCTGAATTGGATTATCTCTCTGGCCGACACAAAGATACAAAAAGGAACTCCAGATTGGTAAGATGCTTTTAATGTTAAATACTCTAATGACTTTAAAAATAAAGTCACAAAAGTAGATATTCTCTCACACCTGAGACTCCCAGGGGTTTTCCAGTTAAAGCACTGAGGTGAAGTCCAGCAAGGCATCACAATTGGAAGTTTACCAAACGTCAGCTCTTGATGTGAGAATTAAATGTGGGATTTCTCATTTTCAATATCTAGCAGTGCTCTTCAGATAGTGTTCCTTTACTGAGATGGTATCTCCTTGTGCCTTTTTGGTGATCAGTGTCCATCCCTAACTCTGTACAGACAAAAATGGTGATAAAGATTAGGCTTAGTTTTCCATACTTGGTGAACATGTCCTTGTAACCTAGATTCTGTCGAGTTCACAACTCCCTAGCAGTACCTTCAGCAACAGTGCTAATGAAAAGACAACTCGCAGATCTAACTTTGCCTTTCATTTGAGAAATAATAGCTAGATTAAAAAAATAAATCGGAAACTCCCATGTACCAAGTCTTTGTTATAGTTTGTGGTAAGACTCTTACTGTCTTATTTCAAGCATCTGCAAAAACAAACTATGCTCAGAAAATGAAACTACTTCTAAAAATGTTGGACTGTCTCCTTGTAGTAAACAATGCATCTTAATTTAATGTAACTTAAGATATGCACAGCAAGTCTTGCAGTCAATATGAAAGTATCATTAATATGTGCAAATATACATGCCCTCCTGTTCAGCCTGTGCTATTTCTCTTTCAGGCTTTCTACTATGACCTGGATAAGGTAAGACTATTGAGGATGAGATGAAATGTGGCAAATAGAGAAAAATGGATGATGTGTCCACTGTGTTACTTAAAGATGTGTTTAGGAAATAACTTCTCAAGTCCTCCTCTCTCTCCCCTCTTCAAAAGCAAATCCGGTCTGTGGAGAGATACATCAGAAAACTGGAGTTTCATATAAGCAAGGTAAGGGGGTTTATATCTTGTACATGTAAGGCTTACACCACTATATAAGTGAAGTTTCTAAATAGAAAATACTTTGATTGTAATTCATCTGAAGGGGAATAATGCTGGGTACTTTCTAGAAGGTGTAACCACTCTTTTTACAGAAGGAGGGGATTTTTATTTATTTATTTTTCTTGAATGGTTCTGTTCAGGCTGAACGTTAGGCACAACCCAATCTGAGTTTGCCTGTGAAACCAGTTTGCATGCTCTGCCAGTTTATTCAGAAAATGCTGCTGTGGGAAGACTTACATGTTCTCCCCCACTTCCCACAAGGGGCAGTTCTGTAGAGTGCATGTCTGCTGCCATCTGTTTCCAAAGGAATCGCGTCTTTCCTCTGACATAGCTAAAGGTGTAGGTGTTTTAATCTGTATTGAGGGAATCAGGTTCCTGCTCCCCAAGTAATTTTTCCCTGAAGACTGTTGTTCTACTCCTTATGTTCTAGTCTGATAATAGCAGAGTGAATTGTTTCTTAATATCCCATGCTCATCTGCAGGAATGTCTACAAACTGTTGCACTCTGATCAGTCTGTAAAATGCAGGAGTTGCAACATTCTGCAGTACTGGGATTATGGGATTTGATTGGGTTTTTTTGCCAGGAAATACTGCTGATGCTCCAAAACTTACTAAAACTATGCTGGTGTAATTCTTGTTCATTCTTCCCTCACTCCCCAAATCTTAAAGGTAGAAGAACTCTATGAAGCTTACTGTATCCAGTGCAGACTACGAGATGGGGCCACTAATATGAAACATGCCTTTTCCTTGTCTCCTTCCACCAAAGCCTCCAGAGAGAGCCTAGTGGAGCTTTACAAGAACTTCCAAGAGTGCACAGAGGTAGGAAATACTACACACATGGAATGAAGGACCTGACTGTTCCTTAGAAAAAAATGTACTAGGGCTTGCTGCTGGCTGCTTTTTAATGGTGTGGGTTAAAAACTTAACATGTGAATGAAATACAGGTACATGATAGAAACTAAAGCTTGTGAGAGAAATACCGTACTGGCAAAGGTCTTGAATTCTGTGCCCTTATTTTGCCCCTACTCAGCTTGGCTTCATGCTTTCATGAATACGAGTGAAAAATCTCTTGAAATTCTGCTTTAATACTGGGGTCCATGATGGCTTCCACTGGAACTAATGGGATGAGAACTGAATAATAAATAAGTTATGCTATTTTTACAAAACAAGCAGTGGAAGGTACTCCAACAGTGAACTGCTCAAGTAGTTCCACTCTTCTGTGGAGTGGCATCACAGTTTTCTATCTTACAGAGTCCATTCGTACTACTTTTATCAGCCTCTACTGGTGAAAATGTTAGTGTGTGTCCTTAAAAAAAAAAAAAAAAAAAAATCCTTTAAAGAAAATGGCATTTGTGGGAAGGTAGCTACTTGCTGTGGCTTTTCAGTCATAGTGACTATTCAGTTGTTCTTCTAGGACATGTGCTTTATAGAAGGGGCATTGGAGGTCCATTTGGGAGAGTTTCACTTGAAGATGAAAGGTATGTTCCTTGTTTCTTTCAAGATTCCTCAGCTGATTGTGGGTTTCCTATGTAGCCATCTGATCCACTGAGAGTCCATTTATTCAATGTTAGTTGCTTCCACTGCCTTTCTGGATGAGACCCTGAACAGAATTTTGGCAAACTGCTGTTTGCTTCAGTGTTATAAAATGGATCTGCAATGGTATTTTATATTTGAGTGCAAAAGCTGAAATGCATTATTTCCTCAGCTCAATTAAAGTTTGTCCTTCTAAGAGGTTTGGGCTGGTGGCATAGCTTCTGCACAGTTGAGCACAAGGGGGTGTTGACCAGATAGTCACTTTGTTTATTGCAAGCAGAGGCTTTGGGGAACACTGTAAAACTCTACAAGTATTAAGAGTCTTCCTTCTCTTTTCAGGGTTGGTGGGCTTTGCACGTCTCTGCCCAGGGGACCAGTATGAGGTGCAGTATACAGCAATTCACTTTGTGCTCTATTTTACACTGTGAGTTTGCAGTAGAGGAACGGGAGAGCAAGGGTGCAACATGTAGCAGGGGAGCAGGAAACAGACTGTGATAAAACCATGTGCTGTTCTGATGCGAACAGTGCTTTGGCACATTCACTAGTTACTCTGCCCTCTGAGACTGAAGAGGGGAAAAATGTGATTCAAGTGGTATGGGAGTGTTTAAAAGATGGTAGTGATTGTCTATCAAAACGAACCTGCCAGGTCTTTGTCTTCAAAGTTGCCCTGGAATCAAGTAACAGTTACTGCCTGTTTCTTGGAAGATTGCCCTTGGCATGATTTGAAGGCATCTTAGTATCTTACTGGGTTGCTTCCCTAACAGTTCCAAACAAATTCCAGTGTGCCTTGTATTTCAGTATGGCTACGCTTGCTATGCGGTGTAGTTTTGCAGTTCTAGAAAGGGTGGGATGTGTCATTTGGCACTGAGTTAAGGTGTTAAAACCTGCAACCTGAATTCCTGCCTCCAATCTTCTAGTTTTGTCCAAGTTCCTAAATGTATAGTGATCAAAGGAATGGCTTTGCCTCTGTGGTACTGGAACAGCGTGAGGCCTATGGACTGAAGGGAAAGTTCTGGGTTATGTTGACCCAACATCCTTTTTTTTTCCATTGTGGTTTCTAGGTGTTTGTGCGACTGGGGCGGCAAAAATGGAGGTTGAAAGGCAAGATTGAGACCGATGATAGCCAAACATGGGATGAGGAAGAAAAGATTTTTATACCCAATCTCCATGAGAAGTTTGAAATTAAGGTGTGGTGTATAATGGTTGGATTGGAATCAGAGGGTTAACAGGTCTCATAGAATCATACTACTTACGTGTTAGGTTACCAAGTGTTTGTCAAAGTTCTTAAGCAGTTTTCTTTTCCTAGCCATGTACAAATGGCAGTTAATCAATGTTCTGCCTGTTGAACAGACATCTACTACTGTCTTTCCTTTCCTCTCATAAATATGGCACTCATAAATACATTAGTGCATCTGCTTTCCCATGTTCTAGAGTCTGGTATATGTGGTTGGTGGGTGTTTGCTTGGGTTTTTTTGTTTGTTTTGTTTCGCGATTTATTTATTTTTTTTAAGTCCTAGATCAATATCTGGGATTTTCTAGAGTGAAGTCTACGTGTGGAGACAAACAGATGTGTATGTAGATGTTATTTATATCACCCACATGGAATATTAAGTACCTGGAGTTCTGTTCTCTATAGAAAAAAATGTAGATGGCAAACATATCACTTCACATGTGTATTTTTGAACCTACTTCAAATATCTCTCTATCTGGGTGCACTGCAGATGCTGTCATGTTTTACTCCAGAGATGCTCCATATCTGCAAAGAACCAATAGCATTATATGCTGGTACAAACTGTCTGTACTTTATGTCTTTAGAGTTCTGACACTTTTTTTTTTTCAAGGTGCCTCAGAAGGTCATACCTTTAACAGTAAGGGACCAGTGCTAGTGGCCTGTGGCACGTAGCTGACACATTGTGGGTCCCCCTTGGGGGAAGCTTGTAGTTTTTATACACCTTTGTGCAGCTGCCCCTGGCTTTGGTTCTGGCACTTACCTAGCAGGTGGAGTTAATCCTTAAACAGCATCTCCACTGTAGTTTGGCATCTTTTGTGGGCTGGACTCTGCAGCATGACTCCTGTCAACCTAAAAGGAGCTGAGATCGAAGCCTGTGCTGGATCCTATTTTACTAGGAAACTGTGCCAGTGCAGGGTTTCAAGTTCTGGCAGCTGTGTTAAAGCAGCTATTGCAATGTTCCCCTCCTATCTGGCTGCAAGAACAGGGTTACATAGGAGAGACTTTTAGGCATCTTGCCAGCACAACCTTTGGAAATGTGCTTATAATGCGGTTTTTTGCTGCCACCACACAATGAAGATCAGGTGAGAGGCTAACTCGGATCCCTGTTTTCCCATAATAGTTGTAAAAACTTGTATTATTTTGTATGACAATAATGGGTTTTACTCTTTTTTTGTCAGCTTATGAAAGTCTACTGACTAATGTTCTCCACACCCTCCTGCTCTTTCCACTTTGTACTTAATAATCTTCATCCAGTACAAATACATAGCAGGTTAAAAAAAAATTTAAAAAAATTGAGAAGTGCCAAAGTGTGTTCCAAGAGGAGCCTAGCAACAAAACTTTTGCTAGCTCTTAAAGGAGATGTAGGCATGTAACTAATTCCCGAAGTAGACTTTCAGCACTTGTGCTAAAATTCTGTGCTGAGTCTGATGCTTTATGTGCTTCTAGAACAACTGGATCTTCAATTGGAAGTATGTTTTTATAGCAAATGTTTGTTTAGGTTTTTTTTAAAGTAGCTGAAGAAGCAAAGTGCCAGGCTGGAAAAAATGCAGGCCTGTAACTGCATTGATAACAAACTTGGAGGAAAGAACTGACACAAGTTCCAACTTTGGTCCACAGCTAAGCTCAGAGCAGTTAGAGAGGTCACAGCAGATGCAGCAGTTTGCTTCCAAATCCTTTAGGCAACTGAGAGCTGACATAGTCTAGTGTAGGTAGGATAATATACTTCTCTGTAATATATACTTTATGACAGTGGTGTTCTAATATCTAGACAAGCTAGACTCTGTACTATAAATAACTACTGTTATGTGTATTAGAGCTAGAGTTTCAAATTTCAGACTAACTTTTTCTTAAAATCATAGTCTACCAAATTCTGCTGTCAGAAGTGCTGTAAAGCTGTCTCTCATAGAACCCCTTTCCTCTTTGCTAGCCATCTGTGACTTATTCCTTGTGGGGATATTGGCTCACGACAATTTAGGAGCCCAGAATCGAGTATCAAGGTTTTCAGTTTGTGGGCCTCGGAGCAGGCCTGAGCCTGGGGTGTTCTCCTTTCCATGCACATAACTTAGGCTTGTCTGGTAAGATGAAAATGGATATGTTTGTCTGTCCCTGCAGGTGACAGAGCTGCGAGGACTGGCCACTATTCTAGTTGGTGTTGTGACATGCGACAGCATAAACTTCTTCACAACCAAGCCTCAGGCAATCATTGTGGATATAACTGAACTGGGCACCATCAAACTACAGCTGGAGGTCCTCTGGAAGTAAGTACAGTTTCAAAGGAAAAAAGCTGGAGCTAAACATTTGAAATAAATTAAAGGGTCCTAAGTATGCCACTTAGCATTCAACATCATAGTGCTCTTTCTGTTTGCAGAGCAGGTGCAGGATAGATAGCAGCCATGTGCTTCCTCACAGCAACCCGAGCTACTGTGCCTGATCTCTGACTGTGTGGGACCAGCCCTGGGAAGGGACAGAAGCTGTTTATTTCTGTGACCCTTCAGTTCCCTGTGCTGATGTTAGCAGAGCCACGTGAACTGACTATAGACTTTTACTTAGCTTCCCACTCCTCGCAATGAGCATTGAAGTCTAGCTCCAAGCAGTGCCTGTACATCTATAAAAAATGAACAATAATCTTAAAGAGGATGAAATGAAACTGAAAATAGCAGCTTCTAGGCACAATGAAAAAATACATAGCTGAAATTTTTAGGACAATTGCTATTACCAGGCCACAATTTGTTAAAAATGAAGCTTTCACAAAGACTTGGCATGTTCACATTTGCACTGTGATGACAGTTACTGATATAAGGCCTGTTTGTGCACTAAGGGAAGCTTGGTTACAGATGCACTTTTAAAATAGCTGAGTGTTTTCATGGTGCCTGTGATTTTCCTAAATTGTTTTATAACTTAAATTTGTAAATTTTTTTTTGTAGTGGATCACTGATGTTATTAAAAGCAAATTCTCACTTTTTATGGATGCTGTACTAGAACTTCTTCTGTACTCTAGACACACCACCATAGATTTTTGAGGTAGTACTGTTATTTCTGCTTTATGGGACTGTCATCCATACCGAGAGTCGTGACTTTTTAACCCATTTCCTATTGTCCAGGGGTTAATTCTACACATCATAGTGAAATGCCCAATTAAACAACGGGCACTCCTCACTTTGTACTTTGGTACATGGCTTACTGCAGTCCTCAGTTCTTCCCAACCCAACATGTTAGAGAGGCATGTGAACACACCTCCATGATAAGGACCTCTTGAAAGGCCACATTGTGATGGCTTGTGGACCTAGGCTCTCTCCAGGAAAAGCAGAAACTGAATGATGCTTAGGTTAGCAAGGGCAGAGAGCTAGCTATGCCTTGCAGCCCAGACTTACCTATGTCTCAGCCTTGTACAACTCTTCTTCTCTGGCCATGCTGATTTCTCGTTTTCTTAAAAATTACCCCAAAATAATAAGCTCGTATGTGTTAAATGTGTGGTCTGCCAAATATGCCCAAAAGCCAAACAGGTTTTTCAGTAAGACAAAAGTTTCCCTGCCCTTAGGGTAAAGTAACCGAATGTATTTTACAATCAGACTTGATTTTTTTCAGGTCTTAATACCTGTTTCTACTTTTAATTACCTTTGGAAGCATTGTTTGACTTAAACCTTATCACAGTCTCTTTAAGCCACCAACAAGAGAAATGCCACAAAAGCTTTCTGTTGCAATTCCTGTTCAAGTGTTGATAAACAGTTTTCAGGTTGCATTTCTGAGGATGGGGAAAGAAAAGCTTTATTGATCAACATACTATTTTCTGAATGTCTTTTGTGCATGCTGTGGTTCTAGAAATGTACTGTTGACTCGTACATGCAATCAGGCTGAAAAATGAGTCTTGGCAACAGCATCTGAAAAATGTTTTTCAAACACACACATTCCTCTAGGTCAATGAGAAATAAACTCACACAGCAGAGTTTTGCCCGCACCTGTTGATTATGACACTTTTCCTCCTGAGATCTAACAATGGGCAGCAGTATATGTTTTGTTTTGGTGAGGTGCTGCAGCTGCTCTGAGACCTTTGAGGCCTCTCTTTCTTATTTGAGAAGCTGATCCACTAATTAGTTGGGTAACAAAGCCTCCTTCCAGAAGCTTGCTGTGATCTTGCATTATATGCCCTATGGAACTTCCTCTTACTCATGCCAGGTTATGTATGTATTCCCATTTGAATCTGAAAGCAGAGACATTCATGGTAGAGTTATTGAAAACTGTGTGGAGTGAGGATGGTGCAAGTTGCATTATATATGTATTTGGTTTTTTTAAAAGTAGCCCTTAAAATGACAACCCTTTTAAATGAAGACCAGGAAGGAGAGAAGAGGGGCATAGGGGGATAGATAGGCTTTTATACATCCACAGCAAAGTCTGCCTTTATTTGTCGTCTGTCACCCTGCAACAAACACGCACCACAAAAACTTGCATTGGCTTTACTCTGGATGTAAAATTATCAAAACCTCTATATGCAGTTTCGGAGCAGAACAGACTGCGGGCAGAACCCTCTGCTTGCAGAGATGCTTTTCTTATATGGGAAGTCCTTTTTCCCTGACTTCAAGCCTAACATCTTAAGAAGCTACACTTGGGCAGTGAAGGAGGCATACTTTCTTTATTGAACTGGGTATAAAATCTGTTCTTGTGGATGGCATGTTTGTAGTGGATTCTGGAAGAGATCACTTGTACCCCCTTCTTGTTAACTCACACAAATTCACTTCATTTACTTTTGCTGGATCTACTTGCTTGCCTTTCCTAGCTGTCAATAACTTGCATAAATAATTATGCACATAAGTTGTTCTTCTAGAAGGACTGTATGAGGAAAACCTCTTCCAGTTCTGGGAGGTTGCATAGTTTCTCAGAAAACAGCCTAAATCCTCAAAGCAAATGATATTTGGGATTAAATTTTCCAAAAAAAAATAAAAATCAACCCAACCCAAAACCAACCACCAAAACCCAAAAGAAACCCACTTTAAATTATGTTGATACTTAATTGTTGCAGTAGTTTGCAGCACAGAGTACAGCTTTTGATTAGCTAGATGAGCACTTCTGTGGCATTTGGGACAGCCATCACCCAGATTTTAGAGTTGGCAAGAGCTGAGCTGAGAACAGGGTTAGTGCTGACGCATTTTCTTTGGGAGTTAATCCCCACTTGGAATTTTTCAGCATATGAGAAAACTCCGGCTGCATGTCTCTGCTGTGTTTAAGTTTTGTGAAATGCGTTGGTATCCTACCAAGTGGATTCTCCAGAGTGCTTCTGCACAGAACTGGCAGGCTCCTCCTCTTTGACAGCCTGTTTGCTGAAGTTGTTTACAGAAAAGAGAAGTTCTGTGGTGATAACTCAGGGTGTTTCTATTTTCAAAGACAGAGCACTCAAAATAACAGCTGCTTTTTTCTTTGATTTAAGAATAACTAAACAAATCCAGCTGATTTGCCCAAACTTCCCTGAGAGGCAAGCTTTCAATCTAGACTTATTTTGTGAGAAATCCAAATGTAGATCACTCTTCCACTTCTAAATGTATATTTTCTTTAAGTAGGCCACTAGTCTTCTGGGCTCTAACAAAGGTTCCTTCAACTCCCTTACAGATTATGCCATGAGGAGCTGGAATGAGCTTGGGCCTGTTGCAGAACAGCTTTGTTGGCCAGTTTGGCAGAAGACTTTGAGTTTTTTGCCAACCTAAACAGCAGTTTGAATTCTGTCTTTCACATGACAGACCAAGAGAAAGCCTGTATTCTCTTTTCAGAACTTCAGTTTGCACCCCATACTGGGATCTAAGGGTGCCACCAGCCAGAACCACTTTTATAATTTCTGTACACTTTGAGCGTGTGCTCGGCTGGTGGAGTAGGAGGGAAAAACCTGAAGGGAAAATAAAAAGGGAAGGTCTGGGTTTTTTGGATGTGTACCTACTGACAGTCTTGCTCTTATAGATGAAAACTTTCATGAATAGCTAGTTACTCATGTAGGTATCTTGAGGCAGTAGTCCCGCAATGCATCTCTGCTTTTGATGGAAGTGATGTTTCATAGCCTAGTCTTGTGATAAGCTGTACTAACTTTGAAATGGGTGATTATTATGCTTTAATGGGTAGGAGAAACCTAACAACAATCACGCTGTTAAAATTGCATGGTCATTTTCACCTGTGTTTGATAAGGAAAAAAAGAAATCTCGTGATTAACAGTGAGTCCAATCCAGTTCAGTAGAATTGTTTTTTTGTGTGTTAATGCAAGTCTGGATTCACAGGCTTAGGAGTGGGATTCAGACAGGTCAATCCACCCAGAGACCCTCTGGCCTGGAGTATTGAAAACATGGAGCAACTGGACAGAAGGGGAGTGACTGGGGCTCAGTCTTGGCGGTGGGAGAAGGGAACGCAGATCCGCTGTGGCTGAAGAGTGAATGGAGTTCAGCTCTTATGTGCTCTGCCTGATTACTGACGTTCCTCTGAGAACATAAACGTGGAAGTGTCCTCCTTACACACACAACAGAAAAATGCAGCAGGGTGAGGGAAATGGTAGAAATCTCAAGTATTTCATCCTTCCACAGGTTTGGTGGTTATGACAAAATATCTCACTGGGAATCCATGCTCAGTGCTGGCAAGGCTGAATCACTTCTGAATGCATGTGGATGCAAAGCTTCTGATGTCATGGGAGGCTTAATCTAGGAAATGTGAGCTCTGATGAATTGCAAACCCCTTCAAGGTCAGGCTGGGCATGTGTGTTTTGGACTTGAATGCTGAAGTCCTGCAATGGTGCTAAAGCAAGCTAAAGGAGAGTTATGTGCTGCATTTATGTTGGCCTTAATGATGTCATTGTAGTGTTGTGCATTTAATGCCAATATTGTAATTAGTCACAAACAAAGGCCAGCATGTTTGGCAATACAGAAATAGAATGGGGACAACAAAGATGATCAGAGAAGTGAGGCCACTTAGATTTTTTTTTTTTTTTTGCTTATAGAATTTTTCAGTCTTGAAAAGGTGTTGGTAGATAACACTGAACAGGCACATACATGTTCACTGCGGGCAATGTGGAAAGGAAATGATTAGGCATTGTTTCTCTCAGTATAGCCACAGAGACCTCCCCAAGTCAAAGTGCTTGTTCTGCAGTGTGAAGTTAAATTATGAAATTTCTGCCAACTTTAGACCTCTGCAGAGATTTTGTGTCAGTGGTTACGAAGTGACTAGAAAAACTAAGGAAAAGCGTGTGACAATTAAAGGCAACAGTCTGCTTGCAAGTCTGGTGCATGACAGATCTAAGCTATGGATTTCCTCAAATTTGAGCGTGTGTCTGAGGAAAGCCTATCATATTTGACTTTCTCTGCTTTTCCCCTGAATGTCCCCTGCTGGCTTCTGTCAACGTCAAGGAGCTGGGAGAGATGGATTCATAGGTCTGTCCCAGTATGATGTTTTGTTTGCTGCACAAGTGTGGAACAAGGTGAGGGATCGTGCCCCAAAAGCTTACAATCAACAGATAATAGATGCTTTAGAGTAGACTTCATGCTTTCCAACACCCTTTGCTTTGCTCTCTTAACTTGTTATCTTGCAGTAATAGGGAGCGTGTGCTTGTTTGGAGGGCAGCTGAATAGCTGTGTTTTGCTAGAGTTTTAGTAATTCTCAAAGAGGCAAAACAGATTTAGCTTGTTCTTCCTGTCCCTTTCCTCCAAATTTGTGTCCATCAGTAAACATAGCAGGCTTTGGCTAAAAGGCAGAAACTGTCAGAAACCCGATTTACTTTCTGCATAGTGAGACATTGCAGATGGTTGTTAACGTGACTCCATGGAACTGGCCTGTTTGATGAACCCCAGCTGGGTGACGCTGGCTAATTTAGCCAATTAACCTGTATTAGGCGAGCTCACAGAGTGTTACCTCCGTGCTGAGGAAGACAGTGGTGTGTTGCGCTGCAGGATGCTGTTGAGAATTGTCCCTGTGCGATATGAGAAGCTGGAGAGAATTGGAGCTCTGCTTTTCAACTTTTGCTAGAGAGCAGAAGTTCACTTCCCTGTAATTGATTAGTTCTAATTATTGTTTGGATCTTTTCAGACTTCTAGTGGTTCTATATTGTACAGCTAAATGCAGCTGACTTTATCCTACTGTTTGGTCATTATACTCACATCTATGAGATTACATATTTGTTATAAGTAATTAACTTTTTTCAAAATGCCAGTGCTTAAGTGGAAAAACAATCTTTCTTTTGATGCCACAAGGCATATCAGTAGGGAACAAAAGTAACGTGCGGGAAAAACAAACTGGCTTTACTTAACTTTAAATATGTTTTCCCTCTCTTGGTTAGCTGAGTTGCATTTTGTGAGACAGTTAGTCCAAGTTTCCTTAGACTGCTTTGCAAAGGAAATTAATGGCTGTGATGTAGCAGGTAATTAGGAATTCTTTAGAGCAGCTTGTCAAACTCTTGTAGCCCACAGCCAGTGTCCTCTGGGGCTATAACTGGACTCCTCTGTGACTGTATGAACCACGGAACTTGCCATATACTGCTGCACAAGCTTTCTCTGCCAGCCAAAGGAGTTGTCTATTAATATTTTTGAAGGATAATGAAGCTTTTTGGTGGCTTTTCCAGGTGGTGTGTGCTCTGCAGGAGGGAAACTAATGACATTTTTTTCTTTATCATGTGTTGCATTTCCTTCCTACTTGGTACGGTGTGTGTCTCACTAGCTGTCCAGCGGCTTCAGCAAGCAGCTTGTGCTGCGCTTGCCAGCACGGGTGTCTATGTAGGGCGCTGCGGGATGGGGAGCACTTCAGACTCCTGGCCTGTTGGACTCTTCTTCCAAAGACTCTGGCACAGGTTTTGGTCTAAAGGGTGTTGAGAATTCTGTGTAAAATATGCAACCTTTTCACCTACCTCTTTCTCTGCTGGTGCAATCACAGATAACTGGTCGGAGAGGCAGTCTCTCTTTGCTTTTATTCCCCGTGATGTTTACTAAATGTCACAGTTCAGATCCCTACAGCTGTTCCTGCTGCTAAACATTTCTGTGCTTTCTGCTCTTACCGATACTGAGGCCTTTGTGTTGTCATCTTCTGCTGCAGCCCCTTTGACACAGAGAACCTGTTTTTGTCACCGGGAACCACTGCCAAATTTTCTGTGGGTAGCAGGAAGAGCTCGTTATACAACTGGACCCCACCAAACACTCCCAGCTTCAGAGAGAAATACTACCTGGTGAGTATGCCTAGGAAAGCAAAATGCAAAGCACAGACCTAGGACTTGATTTTGGGGTTAGAGTAGGCTATTGAAGAACACACTCAGAAATGTGAAAGTGTAGCACTCCAAGGCCATTGTAGCTTATTTTGGGGCTTCGATATTTTTTTCTTCTAACCCCTATTCTTTTGAGCTCCATTTTAGTTTTTGTAAAAGAAAAAATACCTGCCAAATATTCCTCTTGGCAGGCAGAATAGTAGGGGTGTGGGCATCTGCTCTAATATATACGGAATCAAACCAGGAACCAATCTGTCTCAGTAACAGCGGAGCAGAATGGTGCCTTAGAGGTGCTATGTGAGACAAGCTTCTCTCTTCCTCAACCACACTTTTGGCCAAGTGTAGCTCAGGGGAATAGAAAACCCCGTCCTCTTCTCATTCATTCAAGTGGGTTTTTAATGGTTGTTTTATATGACCCTGTTAATTCTGCCATACATCTCAAATACGGATAACATCATATATATGTTCCCCTAACATCAAGTCTAAACCAGGTTTAGTGTTGCCTCACGAAAGCAGCAGAATATGCACTCTTCTTCAGAAAGGTTTATTATTTGTACAGGGTACATTGGACTCTTAAAAATGAATATTTCCTCTAACCACTGCATTCACATCCTGTCCTGAGTTGCTTGGCAAGGTTCTTCTTCCATGAACAATTTTTTAGCTGTCTTACTAACTTTCATCTGAATGATCTAAAACACAGTTACTACTGCTCCATGTAGTTCATCCAGTAGGCTCTTAGTACTTTGTTTCAGTAGTTTCTTTTGTCCACTTTGTGCTGGCCTGGCTCCCTTGTGCAGAAGAGCCCTGTGGTGCATATGTTTCCAAGAACAGGAAACCATAGTTGTCTGTCTATCTTAAGCAGTATCTCATGCTTTTCAGTTGCATATGTGCTCACTTATCAATCTGTTTGCTGCAGTCTGTTTTGCAACAAAGGCAGAACCAAGGGGATGTAAGTGATGAAGCTCGGCCTCCCAGCATATTGAGCTACTTGGCTGCCTGTGATTTTGATGTACACGGGAGGACCAAGCCTCACAATCCTGCAGAGGCAAGCGAGGCAGATTCGTTCAGCTCTGAGGATCAGAAAGGGACAGAATCCAGAAATACAACTCCAGCTCTAGACCATAGGACATTGCCATCGGTGATTATTCAAGAGACCTGTGCAGAAGAGCAGCAGCATCCTCTTCCAAATCACATGACTCTAGATATCCTGAAGAAGACTCCATGTGTGGATGGATTTCCAAATAACCCATCTAGTTTTCTGAACCGTCACAAAGGTGGTAGAGATTCTTTCAACCAGACCAGAAATTGCCGTCTGACAGAGCAAGAAGACATTAGCCAGAAAAGCTTGAACACTGCAAATGACCTAAAACTAGATGGACATACAAAGTCAATTGATAAGACTCTCCAAGAAGTGTTAAATTTGCTGAAATTACATGATGTGGGACAAGTGCAACTGGAGAAATTGGAATACCAGGTTTCATCTCTGAGGGATAAATTAAAGGTATGATAGTGTTTTACTCTTGGTAGATGGTGCAGCTTCCACTGTTACTCCTAAAACTGTAGAAGTCCCATGTCTTTGTGGTGGATTTGACTTAATGATGTATCGATGGCGTGTTCCCACAAAGTAAGTTTGGCCACCAGAGGTCAGGCACTTCTCAGAAAAGGGGGCCCTGAGCGCTAACTACACAGCAGCACTACGTTCTCTCCAACAGCCTTCAAGTGCTGTGTGCAGATTGGTAATCTGCAAAAAGAAATTAAGAAACGGCATGCAGTCAAAGTGGAAACTAGTCTGGGCTAAGCAGAATCTGAACTGCCTGTCAGAGCCTCTGCATTTTGGTTTGCTCCTAATTTTTTTTGATGGTTTTCAGATTTAGTATACCTTGAGATGACTGCATCAGTAAATCAAACCCAACGTTTCTCCAGGATCACTTAGCTTTTGCAGGCAGTTCAGTCTGTCTGACAGGTCACGTGATGCTGAAAACATTTCTTTCTTTACAAGAAAGGTCCTGGAGAAGAGCTTTCTGCAAGCAGTGGGTAATAGTGCAGATTTGGTAGTGTTATAGTACGTGGGGCCAGTGTGCAGACTTGGGAGATAAGATACTGTAAGACTTCGTCTACAGTCTGGAATAATAAACGATGTTAACAAAACTGCACGGACTTCCTATTCCAATGCAACCTCTTCAAAACAAAAATTTAAAAATCCACAGACCAAGTGCTCTCAAAGCAGCCTTTCCAACGGGGAGAAAGTTAGTGGCCTCATGAAGTCCACAATCGATCTCGAAGTTCTTTGATACTGTGCTGGAATGCAGCACACCCCTAAGATTGCTACTTCTAGATCTGAAACAGGGAATAAGTGAAAATTGCACTAATGACAGAAGATGCAGAGCAAATCAGCTCTCATACCAACCTTAACAGGCATGGAAATCCAAAGAGGAACACAGATTAAAATATTGAAGCATATTTTTAATTTAATTAGCAACCTGATTTGGGGATCAGAGTAATGTACCAAGAGCAAACTTTCCTGATGTAAGAATTAAATCAGAAGAGCAAATTGATTTGTTATTAAGAGTGATTTTAAAAACAGCAAAGCACTCATGGAAAGTGGCTTGATAACTACAAATAACAGTATTTTTCCTTCCATTCCTTCAACAGCTAAAGACACTTCATCACAAACATTCATCAATGGAAAGTTTAATGGTGGAGACAGTATTGGAAAGTTTTGACTTTTTAAACGCTGACTGTAGCGCTGATGAGCTTTCATTATTTGGAAGTGTAAGAACAGCCAGTATCAGGTAAGTATCTGCAGCACTTCATTCTAGGGGACAAGGAAAAGGGGTAAGGGAGGCTGATCCCAGGAACACTTACCAATACACCGTACTTTTGCAAGTTGTGTAGCACTGAAACTTGCATTCCAGAGCTATGACCCTGATTCTGGGAGACTTAGTACACTTCCAGTATCATTGAAATGGGAGAACACCAAGGGATGTGTCAGTAATACATGCTGCTTTTGCAGTTCACCTGCTGCAAATGAACCAGCAACTCAACTCCTGTTGTCTGGAAGCATCTTTTCCTAGTGTTGATTCTCCAAAATGGGATTTTGTGGGATCAGCTGATCTGGTATTACTTTCCTGGAATGAGTTTTAGAAGTAAAGTCCTCATGTTTTTAAGAAGTGTTTTAAATGCAATAAAAAATGGTATTATCTGTTAAATGCCACCTGGTTTGTACTTTGGCAGCTCGCTTGAAGGCTGCTACTGAGACTGCACATCTTTATATTCACGTGGTGATGAGGTAATGTTTTGACTCCCTTTTCCCTCACCTCAACAGCACATACAATGACAACACGCTTCAGTCCCTGAACTTTGACATCAGAACAGAAACAAGAGACGTAACTACTGGTGATGGCAACTTAGACACACTTTTGATAACTCATCTGAAGCTGTGCAAAAGTCTTCTACAGGTAAGGAGTAGCCTGTGGATTTCTAGGGCGCTGATTGTAAGTGTTGATTCTGATTACGGACAAAAGTGAGTATGTAGTTGGTTCTTTTATAAAAGCAGAAAGACTCAAAATAGAAATTGAGTCCAAAAAAATGCAGTGCATACATGTGTAGGCACAGAACATGTCATACAAAACTCTGCTGCTTTTTTTTGAGCCTCTGGTTTTTGCTAAAGCTCTAAGTAATACCTTCATGCCCAAAGCTGGCTGCTAATGCAGTAGGACAGATTTGGGTTGAATTGTGTATTGTTAACAGGTGATCAATTTTTTTAATGAAAGAAAAACTGCTACTACTGGAGAGAAACTGCTAGCGTGTAGGGTAAGGAAGAACTCTTATCTCCCCTTGAGACCTCATTCCTCAATTTTGGTTATAGTGCTCAAGCATACTATCATTCTCAAAGTATCACCCCTAATGAGGATGGGCAGTAGAGGACAGTGTACCGATTAGTATTGATCTGCTACACGTTGTCAATGGACAGGGGCAGAGAAGCATTTCAAATGCCAGACAGCCTGTTCCAGTGTAATGTGATTTACTCATCCTGCTCTGCTGAGCAGCTTTGCACTCAGAAGTGACCTGTCCATGCTGTGATGGGAAAGAGGCCTTTTGAGAGCAGCCCATGGGTTTTCTCACAGATTTTAAAAGTTTGATTCTAAGAAACATTCATCTTGAGCTTGATACTGCCTTTGTTTCAGCTACTGAGATAAGCATGTTGCATTTCAGAAACTGAGGTCACCAAATGTAGCCCAGGTTGTCCAGGAGAGCATTTTGGAAGAAGTGTCAGAGCAGACGCGAGTCCTGGGGGATGTCTCGAATATGTCTGTTGAAGAAAGTGAGTAACTGCGTTATTCCGAGGTGTGCCAGAAATGTGAGGTACAGGTAACTCTGAGCTTCCCCAGACACATCAGGGTTTCATTCTAAATTCCTCACAAATTCACAATAATTACATCAGCTCTTCTATCCAGATTCTTAAAAACCGGGGCTCGTCGTTTGTTTGGTTGTTTTTTTTCCCCTGTAAGGAAGGTAAGATTTGAAGAAGTTTGGCTCAAAGAAATAGTAGCTGAACTGGTATGTCTTAGAGATGTTATAGATGCAGTTTGCAGTCAATGAACAGCAGAATTGCCTTAATAAAATCTTCTTTTAAATCTATGCTATCTATATGTAAGCAAACAGCCCAACTTCTGTATACATTTGCAAGAAAAGTTTGGTGTGCAATTTTTCCCATCTCAGGCCTTCTCTCCACTAAATTCTTCCATTGACTGACAAAATGATAAAGGTACAATGGGAGACTTTGAAGGCTGTTGTTCTCATCTTGGTAAATATAGTGGCAAGAATGCAAATTTTAGTTGGAAGCATTTGCTGACAGATTTTATCCTGAAGGATGTGAGAATAAACTGTTCCCTAGAGCAAGGCTCCAAAGGGCCTTTGGCACAACATGCTGAGGGAAGTGTAGGAGTCTTCAATGCAGAAGGCAAATTCAACACCTCTGTAGGTAAGAGTGAGAAATGACAGGGTTTAAGTGATAGCGAGAAACCACAGGGTATTGCTTCAAGTGCTCTTCTGAAGTCTGTGATGAAAGAAAGCCTGCCTCAGCCTCTGCATTGAGGTTCTGAGGTCTCCACTTGTGAAGATGTGTAAGACAGGATCTCTAAAATGCTTGGCAATGCACATCTCGTGGTGATGGAAATGGAAACAATTAAACTCACAGAAAGTTCTCCTGAAACTTGACTCAGGTGCTGGGATGACACGAGTAATGGGAGGCAGGAGATCAGCTAGGCATCTCATTCAGTCTCATAATGACAGTTTAGGAGCTCAGCCCAGGCTTGGTGAAATCAGTGGCTGCAGATGTTAAAATACTGGCAGCAAACCTCCTGCTTTGAACAAAGCCATCTATATAACGTGAATACAAGTTATGCTGACACGTCTGTAGATGTGCCATCTGGTGCCTAATTTCTCATGTAAAAATCCAAAATCTGCTAGAGCTCACTAACTTTCTAAAATGTGATTTTTTTTTTATTTTTTTTTTTCCAGTTATTCAGAAGACTAAAAAGAAGAAGCACTATCTGAAAATCTGGAGTGATCTTGCAGAGCCTGGCAGCATCTTGTTTGCTTCAATGGAAAGATTCCGTCATGCACTAAAATACATGTTGATGCTCAAAGTGAAGGAAAAATACCCCGGTCAATTAGAAGCAGGTACCAGTCTGTTCTTTGAACACAAGGCCACACTGGTTTCATTTTATTGCATGGCTAAAAATTGTCCTTGTGCATTTTAAAAATAAACTAAAACCTCATATTTTCTTGTTTTAAGCAGCTTACATCTAACCAGCCTTTCATTTTCTGATTTGTTCTTTTCTGTGTTACTTTCAGTATTGCAGAGGTTGCTGGAGCAGATCATCACCTGTGACGGGGTGCTCCCTTCTCTGTACCTCCAAACAGAATCGGTTACTTTATTCCAATTTTATAGCTACCTGGAGAAACACCACATTACCAGCCTGGAGAAGCACTTGGGAAAACTTGCCAAGGAAGGTAATGGCAGCGCTCAGCTCCTTCGCGTGCCCTGACAAGCCCAGCAGCTGGCTGGTGCTCTCCAGGTTACTACTCAAGATACTTTCAGAGCAGAAAACAGCCCAGCCATTGTGTTGCCAATTTGTTGCTGGTTTAATTCCCCTTATGACCATACAATTTTAATTAGAACAGACATGCATCTACCCATATCTAACTGGGTAGAAACAGGACAGAAGTGTGAAGGATGGGTTTATCTTAAGTGCCCTCAAAAGTGGGTTCTGTGATACTCTGAAGTTAAAGCAGGAACAAAGTTGGCAGCAATCTACAGCCGGACTCAAGGACCGAGTAAATGTCTGTAGCTTTGTGTGACTGTTGCAGCTGTAATCACAGTTAATAGCAATAACATTTCAGAGGTTACTGACATACGTTTTCTAGCACAAGGTAGCCAGGGCCTCGCTGAAGCCTATTCCAACATGTGAAAGTACTTTAAAACTTAGTCTGTATCAGCAAAGAATTATTTTAAAAATAGTCCTCATACTGGCTGCATCTTTAGTCTTATTTTGATGCAGATGACTCATCTGGTGGGACACTAAGAACTTGTGCATTGCTAGTCAGTGAAAAAGACCTGGAATATTCTTCAGACTGAAACTGTCAATCCAGTGCCTGATTTATATTTTTTTTTAATATAGAGGGTTTTCTCTTTGACCAGTACAGCAGGATCTTTCAGAAATGGTTTAAAAGTATATTGCTTGATCGTGTTTTCCTTATTTTAGGACTACTCTGCTTGTCTTAATGCCCAAAGGTGCAGGAGTTCTTTTGCACTGGTCCGTAAAGGAACAGGGCTTCACTGCAACCGGTAAACTAGTATTGTGAAATAATAATCTCTGCTCTGTTTGCCAGACATTCCTGGCATAGCAGGAAATGAAACAATGATAGTGAAAGAAGACAGGATGGTCAAAGGGGCAGTCGTCCTGATTTGCTTCCTGCAACGCTTGGCTGTGGAATGCTTGTTAGCCATGGGAATAAGGACACACGGCTAAAAGAGATGGAACTAGAGAGGAGGAGAGGTGGTCTCCTGATGATGTCTGCATTTGTCAGGTAGTGAAGTTGAGTCCTTTCGCTTGCAGTGATGCTAATTGAGGAGCTACAATGCCCTGGACGGCTGAAGACTCTTAAAAAATTGAAAGGAAAGCGATTGAACAAACTCCAACCTCTACCACAGACTTTACGGCTACTTGGGATTTTACAGCTGGACGACAACCACCGCGTCAGCAAAGCAGCCACATCCTGCCTCTCCCGTGCAGCAGCAAACAAGAACTTTAGGGAAAAGGTGAAGACTGCAGTTCTTACCAGCTTTTCTAAATAGATGCTGAAGTACATGAATTTATTTTATCCTAGAATAGTACTATGGTCCTCTCCACACTTCATTCATCTGTTAACTAGAACCTAATCTACATCAGTGCTCAAGTGATTTGTGTATATTCTTTATTCAATTTCAGATAGGTAAACCAGCGCTGAATTTGAGTGCTTGGTTATGCTTAAATTTACAAAGCCTTTCTTTTTTTTCCTTCTCTCTTTTCATTTAGGCTCTCTTTTTTTACACTGATGTTTTGGCTGACTGTGATCCAAGACTTCAGCAAGCTGCATGTCTGGCCCTTAAAAACCTCAGAGTAAGTATTTACAGCTCTTCTGCTGCGCGCGTCCAGCAAAATTGCTAGATGCAAAAGTGTATTGAGCTGGTTTTTGTAAGCTGGTAGGGTTACTTTTTCAGTTTCCTTCTATTTGGAATTAATGAATTCTTTGGCTGCCAAAGTTCAAACTACTAATGCTATTATTCCAAATGCAGCAGGCAGAGGGAGCTGCAGGCATCTTGGAGTGTCTCAATTTGATCTGACAGGTCCAGTGCAAGCGCAGAAAGGATGGTTTTAACTTCTACAGTATTGTGAGTGGTGGAGGACAACAGATACTGTCTGACCAGGGACATCTAGCATGTAGAAAAATGAGAAAAAAACCAGTCAGCTATATATGGAGTTAGCTTTGACTACAGAAATTTAAAGTTAAATCAGTTCACCTGTGTTTAACAATAGCTGATTATAGCCAGAAAAGAAAAGTTATACTTGCATGGCTGTTATAAGAAACAGTCCAAACAGATTTAAAGCTTTCCAAAAGCCACAAGTCTGTAATAGGTTAGTTTGCACAAGGCATTATTGTGAGTACAGTTTCTACAAACATGCAGTCACAAGATAGGCCTGACAAACCAGAGCTTTATTCTCCAAGTTAAATTTGCAAAGCAACTTGCACAACCTGCATTAACTCTTTCAGTGAAGGTCCTGATTGTTTATGCTAATTTAGTGGTACCGCAGCAGTGAATTGTACCCTTGAACTTTTATACTTCTCCATGCCCTAAAACAGGAGAAAAAGTAGCAGAGGTGAGATCATGCTTAGAAAAAATAACTGCAAGCTGTATGTCGGGGGAGAAAAGAAAGGTCACAGTAGAATTCAGATGCAAGAAGAGATGGGAGATGGGAGTTAGTATGTATGTGTCTACCTTGCAAAAATGTTCATCAAAATGTGTGCTGAAAAGCTACTGTTGTGAATTTTTCTTTTCTCAAACAGGGTGTGGAGAGTATCGAGCAGGTTGCCCACCTGTGCCAGTCTGAAACAGAGGAAGTTAGGAATGCAGCCAGGGAAACAACGCTATCCTTTGGTAAGTCTTTCATACAACTTTACTTTTTCAGAATCTGTATTTTAATGTGAAATGGTGCAGAAACGGAACAGGCCTGAGGTTCAGCCTGAATGCATCTACGACAATGGAAATGATTCATGAACAGCTATTTCATACCACTAAGATAAACTTTGTACCACATATAACCAAAGGCTCCCATTAAAGCTTGTAGAACCAGGCCAAGGAGATTTTTGTAGGATAAAGTGCTTTAAGAACCATTAAACTTTTTCAAAAGGTGGCAGATAAGTACTGAAAGTGCTGACAGTGCTGCTGGAGTACTTCTTCATAGTAGTGCTGGCATCAGCAACTTTCTCCTCCTAGATTTTGTAAAAAGGACATTTGAACCAGCCAGGTCACAATAAAGCCTCTTCTAGCTCTGAGATTAGCTGAGCTGATTGAGAGATCTCTTTTAGATCAGAACAACAACAGACTCCTCCGACCCACTAATCTCTTATAGCTACCTACAAACTGACTAGTTACTTCTGATTTTGACGTTCCCATTCTTCAAATGGTTCCACTCTGAATACTGGAGGGGTAAAGAGTGAAAACAAAATGGGTTGATGCTGGTTCATTACCTGTCACCTCCCCTGAATTCAGATGATCTGCAGTGGATTTAAGCTGCTAATGAAACGCCAGTGTTCCCAATTTGCTATTGAGTAGGTATTTGTACTTCTGCCGAGGGCACAGGAGAATTGCCAAGGCCAAACACCTTCCATGCATGGCTATAGTGAGGATGTCCGCCTCCTCTAGGAGATGGCAATTTCCCTTTTCTGTTCTGCCTAAAGCACTCTGAGTCATGCTCAGTCCCAGGGAGCTCCAGTTTTGCTTCACCAAAACACTCAGAGTCACATGTATTACAAAACAAGTTTTTCCAACTGTGATGTTCCAAATTGTTACTCATGTGGAAACGTTTACATGAGGCCTGATTTTGCGTGGTGGTTTCTGGCAGATTTTTGGAACACTATTCCCTTAGAGCTGTGTTTGTCACTGCTGGGAGTTCTGGTTAGTTCTGAACAAGGTGCCAACAGAAGTATTTCTAGAGTAGCACTTTTCTCAGGGTAGTGTCTAACTGCTGTCTCTTCCTCAGCACAGGATGTATTTTCTCTTTCTCTGTAGGTGAAAAGGGACGGCAAGCCTTTGAGAAAATGGACAGTATTTGCTGTGAATTAAGAGAAACTGTACAACAAGAGGCTGAAATTGAAATCACAGTGTTTTAGTAGTGGAGTGTGAAGAGCTGAATCCTATTGTCCTCACAGCCACATAGGGGTACCTGAGGATTTTGGTTTGTTGTTTCTGTGTCTGGTTTGCTCTGCTCTATACATGCTGCAGACTGACAGAGTACAGGTTTATTTCCAAAGGGGCAGAGTTTGCAATCTGCGCTAAGTAGACTGCACTACCTTTTCTCGCTGTCTCTCAGCACACAATGAAGTGCTGGATGACTAAGAACCGGGATCTCAGAGTATGGACCCAGGTTGTCACTGGAGTTGAAATCCCCATGTCTGTGGAACTCTCTGCCCCTGCTCGAACTGTAAGTCAGCTATGATCTATTTTCCCATATTTTATTAATTTGGCACTTCTCAAAGAGGAGAGAAGTAGTCACTATCTAGAAACTAGCAGACAACAGATCATTTACATCAACTGCCATACACATTAGAAATCTAGCAGCATTGCCTGGTGGTTTCCTTTTCTTGTACAATTTAGTTGCAGAAGGAAAGCTCATTACTTCAGAAGCCAATTTCTTCATAATTAGTGCAACTTAGGACAGGTTTGAGCAAGGACTGACAAGAATATATACTGAGTGTATATCCTCATGTATCATGTATAGCAGTTCACAACAGGAAGGTATATATTGTATTTGCCATGTGCAGGTCTGACTGACATATGGATAGCTCTGTATGAGGTGTTTTGTGTTTTTTTTTATTTTAAATTTATTCATTTAATCATAGCTCAAGACTTCTCATAATCATACACCCAGGGTCAGGCTCCTTACTCAACACTTATTCAACTGGGGGCCCAGCCATAAAGAGAAGCCTGGCTTAGGTAAAATACTTGAAAGGGTTTGGTTTGTATGTATATTTTTTTTAATATATATATAACTTTTCTATTCTGTATTTATTTGTTAGATTTCATATTGTTTTCTAAAATTCTAATAAAACATTTTGGACAAGTTCCTGGAAGTGCTTCTTCCTGCTGTGCCTGTAGCATTGTGGACAGGGATAAGGCAGTAATGCCCCAAAGGCAATCACATACCTTAAATTGACCCATGTCTAACCTGACAGGCCATCTATCATGTCCCTTCTCTCGGCCATCTGTGAAACGTTCAGGTGTGAACTGCTAAAACAGGCTCAGTGAGGTGCAGCTGGTATCTTGTTTGAAAAGGTGCCATGGAAGCCTTCACTGATGGGCTCTGTGGTGCTTGAGTCATGCTGTCCCAGAGCAAAAAGTGAAATGTAATGGCTGCTTTTCTGTGCTGTAATTCTGCTCTTAACTTAGGGGTTATTTACAACAGGGGAGAGATGTTCTACTTGAAGTTCTCTGCTTCTCCAGGCCCCTCTCTGGAATCATAGAATCTTAAGGCTGGAAAAGACCTCTAAGATCATCAAGTCCAACCATCAACCCAACACCACCATGTCTACTAAACCATGTCCCAAAGTGCCACATCCACGCATCTTTTGAACACCTCCAGGGACGGTGATGCCACCACCTCTCTGGGAAGCCTGTTCCAAAGCCTGACCACTCTTCTGGTGAAGAAATTTTTTCCTAGTATCTAATCTAAACCTCCCCATTGCGAGGGTAGACACACACACCCCCCCACACATACACCCATTTCATCTTGTCCTTTCGCTAGTTACTTGGGAGAAGAGACCAACACCCACCTTGCTACAACCTTCTTTGAGGTATTTGTAGAGAGTGATAAGGTCTCCCTTCAGCCTCCTCTTCTCCAGGAAGTGGAAGGGAAGAGCTGGTGACCTGTCAGAGGGGCAGCCCTGACACCTTATCCATCACTTAGTAGAGCTACTGAGACTTCTCATTTCAAGCCCCTCTCTTCCATTTGTAGTTTTCCTTAAAAATATAAACAAAAGGTAAATACTTTAATCCAAAGGACATGGAAACTTGATGGCTGCAGCTGCTGTAACAAACTGGGACACTACTGTATCCCCACCAAACTTCATGTTAAGGCACGACTAGAACCCCTACAAAACACGTTTGTGCTTGATGAGAGTTACTACAGTTTTTATATTACACTGATTCCTAAGCCAAGACAGTTAAAATTTAACTGCTTGAAGTGAAAGACTAGAGCAGGGAGATGTATGTGTCAGGGAGAGACCTGGGATACTCATTTCACTCTCTTTTACTGGAGCTCTGACCTACAGCTCTTACAGTAACATTTAAATCACTTTCCTCTGCAAAACCCCCACCGAACATCATGCTAGCTCAGAGGTGCAACTGATTCAAACAGAAGCCAGTGGCTCTAGCCCCAAGAAGACAGGAAGCAGTAAGACGCTCATGTCTGTTCTTTAAAAAAAGAATTTTATTGTTACAACTAAAATGAGAACTGAAAACTTGTATGGGAAATTGAAAAACTGTACAGTTTTACTATAACCTGTGAGGTCTTTGCAGCGGCTTACACAAAAGACAAGATACCTGAAAATGTATTATACCAAAACATTTAGCTTTTTTTTTTATTTTATTTTTTTAAAAAAGTTTATTCTATGGGAATCTGTAAAAAAGAAAGACCTGATGAGTAAATATTTGCTTAAGGCATATAGCAGAGCAGCTCACTAACTTTCTAACAAGTTTAACATGGATATTTGTCCATTTTTCCAAGAATAGGTTACCCAATAGACCCACTTTGAAATGCTACTGTATATACACACCCAAACTACTACATACATATACAAGACATCAAAACAAAAATGTTTACAGTTCATTATTATAAGCCTTATGCACACCTCACTGGGCTTGTGTCTATCGCAGGACAGTGGAAGTTCTGGATTCAGAACAGATGAAAGAAATGGCAAAATACAAGGCCGGAAAGGGGGATGTTCAAAGCTGTGTTGTCTGCAGAAACTTTTTTCCGTTAGAATAATTTGCAAGGGAACTATTCTGGAGTCAAAGGAAGGATGCTTTACATTCCTGCCAAGACTAAAATTTAAAATACTCTCTCTTGGGAATGGTAGAGAGGTGGGGTTTTTTTTTGTTGTTCGTTTAAGTGGGCCACCACTTCAGGAGCCTGTATTTCTGCGGATCAAAGCGTGCTACTGAGATCTGGCAGAGGAGGCTCTCCTCTCCCTCCTCTAGTGCAGCAAGTCATACCCTGAAATCAGTGAGCTGTTGCTTGCCTGAAGTGGTGGGAGGCGAGGTGTGGATACGGCTTATGAAACATTCTGGAATGTCTGTACTATACTTACTCAGCTGAAATGAACCATGCTGAACAACCGGGTTACACCAGGCACGCAGAATTCAGTAGGAAGTCATGCCAAGTATTAGGCGAGTACATGTTATCTGATAAACACCAAATTGGTCTATCGCTGAAGGAAGATACTTTCAGCAACACCCTTTGAACCACAGCCACTTAATGATCACGTCATGCAAATATAACTTGGGCACATCAGTAAGCAGAATAGAAGTTCTTTCACCTTTCAAGCACGTGGTATTTAACCAGGACACTAGAAGACTTTACATGCATTTTCATACAAACGGGGTGCAAGTGTTGCCATAGAACAGTATTCTACCAGATGATGGAGAGGAGTGGGGACAAAGCAATCACATACTGTATCTTAAATACACGAGCCATTATATATTACCATTTTTCTATACTCATTTTTCACGTTTCCAATAATATAAGTAACTATTGACTGATTACAACATTCCTCCTTTCAAGTACTGGTCTGACCAACAGTCTCACAGGTAAAGTATTGATTCCCAGTACTACCTGAGGATTTATTATTGTACTTTTGAAAAGCCCTTGATGCAAGCTTAACAAAACACAAAACAGAAACAACTCCCACCCCCCCACACATCCCCCACCCTGGTTCACCAACTTACTCACTGAAGGAAAAGAGCTACACCTACAGCTTCGCAAAAATAAATATGGAGTGGAGAGAGGGTTACACACAGTACTCCATAGCAGTATCTGTACTGAGAATGGTTGTTAAGTGCTATAAATCTAGAAAGCCTTTAAAAATAAAAAGAACAGATCAGTAACAATGTCGCAAATCAGCCATCATGGTTTCATTTCAATCATTACAGCTTCCAGTACTGAGTTTACTCCTGTCCGCTGCCCCATGACATGAGCAAAGAAATCTTCACTATTGTTGTTTATCAATAATTTGGTACTAACGAGAGGAACATCATTGACTAAGAATGCTTAGCACAGTGCTGACTTCCAGTCTCAGTGCTACCAATGCACCCAAATCCTAATTTACCAGCACTTGGCATTGTCCTGGTGCAGGGCCCTGCAGGCGCAGCCCCCTCCCCACCACGGGACAGCAACAGCCCCGTCATCACCCAGCGCCTGCAGCAGCACAAACTCACCCTCTCACACCGCTGTGTCTGACAACTACAGGCGAGCATATTTTCAACCCAAACTAAAGCCAGTATTTTACATCTTTGCTTTAAAAAAAGCAGAATACACAAACGCTTGCACCATAAGCCAACCGATTGTTCACAGACCAACATGTCTTCTGTTGAGCTTTTTATGTCTTGAGGAAGCTGCCACAGCATTAATTGCTCTGGATTTATTGAAATGCTTTCCTGTTCACTGCCTGCAGTGCCTCGAGTACGTTAACTCTCCAGCCCTTGCAGGAAGCACGCTATTCCTTATGGAGCAGATGTAGAGCAAAACTGCATTTTACGTTCCAAATGATGAGCTTTAAGAACTGGTCCTTCTGAATGCCAACTGCACAGCTGCAAAATGCTGGAGGGCATGTTTTGGTTGAATTTCCCTTCTTGTTTCCCTCCCTCCCCATAACCTCTCTTAACCCAGAATATAAAAGCAAACACAGCTTTACAAAGGATGCTGCAATGTAAATAGGCATATGTGCAAGTAGAGTGCAACTAAAGTCAATGAGGAGATACACTAAAAAAAAAAAAAAAAAAAAAAAGGAAAAAAAAAAAGATCTTGACATGTTGGGATACCCTGAGCAAATGCAGAAGCCTGTTTCTATAAACACATGTAAAACAATAAGCCATGTAAAACAGTAAGCTCTTTAAG